TGTTGGGTGGTGGGGGGGGGGGGGGGGGGGGGGAGGTGTTGGAGGCCCTGGAGCTGGGATTCAGAGAGGGCTATGTTTCTTAGCATGTGTTGGCATGATGAAATGGACATTATTGTGACTTAAGACGGCCATGTGGATCAATTCAGGCAATCTCAGTTTAGTATATTTGAAATGGAGTAGGTAAAGGTAAGAGATAAGAGCGAGCGTTCATAAGAGATAAGAGTGAGGGCTCATATTCAATTAGAATTTACACCAAGATGCTTTCTCTATTGTACTCTGGCAGGACAGTAGAGATGGGATATGGGTGATAAATCTGGCCAAATTCGCCAACCCTCTAATCTTTCCCCATTTAATTGCAAGATGAGTAGTTGATTTATGTCATTACATTTTATGCAAAGAACCCATTCAGGTTATAAGGATAATGTGATTTGAATACGTATGAATACATGGAAAACGAGTTTATTTTGATTACATAAAGGATTGAAGTGTCCAATAAAGCAGCGACAGATAAAGAAGATGTAATAACTAACAAGGGATTAATGGTACTGTGATGGAAACAGAGGCGGATGTAGGAAATTTGTGGCATCTCATACCGTATCATAAGATTTCTATTGCTACAATGGAAAATTTAACAGAATATTAACTTATGTACCAGCTTACATATTTGAAGTAGAGATTGTCACTGCTGAAACATGTTGATGCTATTACCTCTCTGCTTTTATATTGACAAAGTAGGGTTGCTTTGTGAGTGACTGAATGAGTGATAACCAGGAAAACTGGAGAAGAGATCATATGCAATTTGGAAATTCACAATAAAATACATAAATGAATGAATTTGAAGAGAATAGGCCGCCCTGTGTTAATAACACCTGAAGGTTCTTGTTAATGAGTTGGCTTTATTTTGATGATTCTTATTTTAATGATTCTTATTCCTGCCAATATGTTAGTTTTTATATACCCAAAACATGTAACATGACTTCCTATTTGATTAATACTATCTCATTCTGCTCAGACATGTCTTTCCTTTATTATTATTATTTTATTTATTTATTTTTTATGTACTATGGTGGTTGCTGATGAGAAACTGGTGATTTTGAGATTTTGAAATACATTTGACTGAGAAGGGATAGCGTGTCTTTAACTGCTGTATGGGCTTGGGCTAAGGTCACTTATCTTGACACAAACTGGAAATCCGTTTAACTTTAATCATCTAAATTCACAACTTTACAGATAAGCGCTCTATTTCAAAAATGATACTTCTTTCCCCAATGAAAATTGATGTTTTTTAGAAGTGGTACTGCATGCAACTTTTGGTAATAATTAACGGAAAGTTCTATTCAACATGTTTGAGATGTTTCCTAATACAGCACGCTTGAGCATGTTGTTTCTTGTCTATAAGACTTTACTATCTTCACATGCTTTCTTTAACATCCTTCTACTTCTTTCATGCAGTATCAACAGAGTGATCCTGTTACCCTCTGGGTAAATAAAGTAGGGCCATACAATAATCCACAAGAAACATATAATTATTACAGTCTTCCATTTTGTCATCCAGATGGTCATGCTGCTCACAAGTGGGGCGGCCTTGGTGAAGTTCTGGGTGGAAATGAGCTTATTGATAGCCTGATTGACATAAAATTCCAAAGTATGTTTACATGGATTTGTTCATGGCTGCTGTGTATTTATCATAGTTTTGCTAAATGATGACAATGAATATTTGGTTTTGACAGAACCTGTGGACAGGGCTACAATTTGTGAGCTTGAACTTGATGAAGCGAAGGTCCAACAGTTCAAGGATGCTATTGAAAATAATTATTGGTTTGAATTTTTCATGGGTAAGTTATATGTTTTGTTCATCTGTGTGATTGCAGGATGATGGATAAATATAATTATATTGGAAATCAAGACTGCAGTAAAATTGGTTTATAAAGAGTTGTCTTTTCAATAATTGGCAACATCATCTTCAGTGTAATAGAAATAAGAATATACATTTGAAATACTCGTGCATATTTGTTGGTATCACGCAGTCAAAGCTGCAACTTATTTCAACACAAATAGAAATTGAGTTTACAAGTGAATGCCTTCTCTCTGAACAAGAGCACTGTTACTTTTATTTGGTGGACAGTTCATATATCTGGTGGAAAAAATATATCAGGGTTTATTAATTTTATTTCAAAATGTTATTGTGCACGGCAGGGTTTACGAATTTTTCTAGAGATTTTTCAATTTTTTTTTAGATTCCTGTACTAGATTTCAATATTCATTTTGTCCCAGTATGTGGTTTTCTTGTGCTGGCTGATATACAGAACTATGGAGTGTCTTAAATTGATGTAGAGATCATTTGTTGATCAGAATAACTTGTAGTAGTTTTCTTATCAACTGAAAGCAGTTATGGAAAAAATTCATTTCTTATATTGATTGCACTGTAGGTCATAAATGGGTTAAAGACATTGAAGATTGGGATTCTATTCAAAGATGTCAAGAAATATTAGGAGACTAGTTCAAAAATAACAGCTCCTACTATACAAATTTCTATTACAAGCGATTCCTATATATCTGATATCTTACAAGTCCCCTCTAGTTGGGTACTAGATGTTGTAAAAACCCAGATTGCCAACTCAAGACTCGGAAGATATTTTATGACAATCCTTTAGTAAATTTTATGCTAGCTGGTCTTTTGTTGGAACAAATTGCTTATAGATAAGTCAATTTTCAAGCTTCTCATCTATAAAATGTCTGTCAACTTCAATTTGCTTTGTTCCATCAGGATTATTTGCTACATGTATAGTAGCCTTGGTTTTTCAACATTTCTCATAGGATATTCACTCTTTATCTTTAATTCCTCAAGCAATCTTTTCAACCTTATACGCTTGTGCATTCCATGAGTTACTACTCTATGTTTAGTTCACCACTGCGCTTTAAGACTACAACTTGTTTCTTACTCCCCCATGTCAAAAGATTTCCACCATGAGAAGTACCGAAACTAGAAGTAGATGTTGAGTCAGTTATGGAACCTGCGTAATCTGCATCATGGAATGCCTCCACAGGTAGTTGATGGCCATAGTTAAATAACAAACCTTTTTCCAGAGTCCTCTTGTAAGTACCTTAGAATTTTGAACAGTACCCCCACACGCTCCCCTTTCAGCAAGTGCTACAGTCACTAAAAAGCTATGGACGAGTCTTTTATAAATAAATAAACTTGCCCATCAGCCATTTATAGCTCTTGGTCTCCATTTCCTTCATTGTCTCAGAATACCTGAGTTCGAGGTCGAAACCAATAGGGAAAGCCGTGCTGGTTTGCATCTCAAAATTCCTACTTCTTACAGTAAATCAAACCAGACCTATGGGGGGATTGTTTTAGGCCATAAAAGTAAGTTCCTCAACTTGCTTAGCCTTATTGCTTCCATGATTTCTTTGAAACTGGTCATGATTTCATTCAACCCTCCATTCAGAAAAGCACTTTTGACATCAAAAAGTGGTGAAGTTACCAATCCAAATTTGTTGCTAGGGAGAAGAATTCTACTGTGTTGTGTTCAACTTAGAAACTGGCGCAAATTCTCTTGATATTCTATACAGCACGTTTGATTGTAACACTTTGCAACAAGCCTAGCCTTGTATTTATTGACTATTCCATTAGCTAAACCCTAAACCCCAAATATCTATCTGTAGCCAACAATTATTTTTCGTTTTCGGTAATTCCTCAACTTCTATGTTCCCGTTTTTCATATGTCCATATATCTCAAGAACTTCAGCTCTTCACTCGGGACTTTTAAGAGCTTCTTGCTGTATTTTAGATTTCTACATGGTATTGAGCTTCTTACACAAACTTGGAAAGAATGATAATAAAGGTGTTGGAAATTGTCTAATAGCGAACAATGAGACTCAATTTGGACTTTGGCTGCCGGAATTCGTTCAAACCTGATCTTCTCCAGAATAACTTTCTCTTTGAAGATAAGTAACATTACATCATAATGGACAAAAAGTATCCTAGACACGGGATCAATACATTTATATCCATTCTGTGCACATGAGTATACCGAGAACACACATTTGATCGCCTGTGCGCCTAACTTACCCTACAGTGATTTTGGACATGCACAAATGCCATGCAATAAAGTTCAAGATGTGGTTAATCAAGTACCAAGCTGTAAGAACCACTTCCTCTAGAAAATATTTAGGAACCTTGTTTGTGAACATGAGTAACTTCCAACAATTCTTTTTTCCTCCAACCCCATTTCTTGCGATGTATCAATATATGAAGATTGATGAACAATTCCTTTTTCAAATAGAAAGTTTCTCAGAATTTTTAAAAATACTTGTATCCGTTTTCAGTTTATAATACACTAATTTTAGTTCCAAATTACCTTTTCCATTTATTAAAATATAGAAACAATTTCAGCCTTATATTTCTCCTTAAATAGACCCAACACAGTCACGTGTAATCCTGAATAAATATGTTGAACCATCTAGTTCCAGAAATATTAGAAATCTTTGGAACCCCTGAATGTCACGGTGTCCAAGTCAAAAAGGTTAATTTTCTCTTATGGTTGTCAATGAAAGTGGACTCTTTGTTGCTTTTATAATTGAAAATTTTCACATTGAAGTGAGGACGGACTTTTATCTTTAAATAAGTGTGGAGAATGCTTTAACCTAAAGGCCATAATTTCATCCCTAATAAATCTGGAGGGAGTTTTATTCTCTACTTGAGTTTGTCATATTATAATAGTTCTGCCTTCATAGTAGTATAGATCCATTACTCTCTAGCACTGCCAAAACCTCTTCCAGAATCCAAATATTAGCTTTCACAGTGAGTAGAACAGAATTTAGTAATGCAGTTGGTAATCCCCAGTGTATTTGCAAATGTACACCAAATTACAAGATAGATCCCAAACATGAAGAACATAATTTTGCTTCATATTTGAATAGGAAATGATGAGGAGCCATCAGTAGTTCTCACTTTTGATTACCCATACATGGATCACACAAAGAGAATAAGTTGGAGAATCTGGTTATGGTGTGAAGCTCCCAAGTCAATGACCCAGGAAGTTTTTTTTAAGTATATACACTAGGGCAGTAAGTAATAAAATAACATTGCTCTGCTAAAGGACATGAAGGTGAGGTATTCGGATTCTTTTTGGACTAGTTAATAAACATATGATTGTTGCTTTGTCAACGACACGTTTTTCTTCCTCCAATATTGGATCGTTGCTGTCCATTGTGACTACCTGAAAATCCTGTATATTAGCTTTCTCAGGAGTCTTAGCTCCCGTTTGACCCCCATTACCTAAAAATGAAAATGGGGGGAATAGTATTTTTTAGAAAAATGAGTGGTTGAAAAAAAAGGAAAACTTTTCGATTTACGTATAATATTATTTTATGAAAGATTGTGTGGTTGAAAATAGGAGAGAGAAAAATGGAATGTAATGTAATTGAATTTAATGGGGATCAAACGGGGGCTTAAAGGAGCACTGTCATTGACACATTCCATTCTGCTTCATAACATTGATCAAGTTCTTGCCACAGACCCTTCAAAATGCTGTAAACCTTAGTCATGCCTTGACTCACCTGTTTCATGATTGTGGGTTTTAATTTCATAAGTTTGTGCTGAATTCCCTAGGTTGGACTAGGTTTCATCCAGTGCATCCCACATCTTTTTTTTTTTTTTTGTGGTTGGCAGAAAAATTTAAGCATGGCTGACATGCTTCTTTTTCTACCATACATCTTCTCTGATTGAGATCATTAATGGATATTGTGCCCATTTAGTTTATGATATGTAGTTTGGGGTGTAGTGGTATTATGGCTGCATACGTCTTTGACTGTTCTGGGTTATTCTGGAATGTCTCTTCTCCACTTAACTCTGTGATGAAGCATAAGTATTTTGAAAAGAAAAAGAATATGTGGCAGGCAAGTTAATGTTAGGGTTATGGCCCAGAGAGGGGATTTGATACCATAAAAAATTGATATCGTGAAAATTGAAATATGTATATTGATTATACATTAGGAGACTAATTTTTTTTTTTTTTTTTTTTTTTTTTTG